CATTACTGAGCCCGAATGGCATCACTCGGTATTGCCAGAGACCTTGGCCATAACTAAATGCTGTCTTGGGTCTGGATAGGGCTTGTCATTGTCTGGGGCTGATTAAGTCGATGGTCAATGTATCCTCCTTGTGTGAAAGACAATAGATCGTCCTTTAACGTATCTAATTCGCTTTTAAATTTACTAATGTTTTCCATTTGTACCTCTTGCCATTGTTGTTGATTTTCCTGTAGTTGCTGCTGACTTTCTTCCTGTTTCCTTTCTTGTTCCAGTTGCCACTGCTGTAATCTCTCTTCTTGTTTCTTTTCTCGTTCTTCTTGTTTCTTTTCTTTTCCTCTAACAACTGCTGTAATCTCTCTTCTTGTTTAATTTCTCGTTCTTCTTGTTTCTTTTCTTTTTCCTCTAACAACTGCTGTAATCTCTGAAAAGAAACAAGAAGAACGAGAAAAGAAACAAGAAGAGAGATTACAGCAGTTGTTGGAGGAAAAACTTGTTTATTTTGTTGTTCGAGCTGCCAAAGAAAACCTGCAACAGTTAAGCGTATCGTAAAGTTATATTTGGAAAGAATAAACCATTTTTATTAAGTAAGGACTTGTGTCGCTAAAGTTTCGTCGGAACGAATTTACGGGAAATCAATTAACAGACGGAGACGTAACAAATTGGTGTCAGAGAGTGGGATAAAAAAAATGGAAACGAGAAGCGGCAAATCAAATTACAGCCTAGCAGACTTAATGGCAGCAATACAAGAACAGCAAAAGAAACAAGAAGAACGAGAAGAGAAATTACAACAGTTGTTAGAGGAAAAAGAAAAGAAACAAGAAGAACGAGAAGAGAAATTGCAACAGTTGTTAGAGGAAAAAGAAAAGAAACAAGAAGAGAGACAACAGCAGTTGTTAGACAGTGAGTAATTGATCTGCAGTCAGAGAGTATTATTGAGCACGTTCGTTGTTATAGCGTTTGTTTTAGCGCGAATTGTTGAAACACACACATTGTTCCGTCACGTTGTCACCCTCTTATATATATACCAGGCTACCCTATATCTAGTAATCTCCCGACTATTCCCGAAGGTTCGAGAGGTGGCGTGACACTAGTCACGTGACCTCGCAGACGCAACACTGCCCCCTCCGAACAATAGCCACTTACAATAAACCAATAACAATTAACAATAACTTAATTAAATGTACAGAATTACAATCACAAAATTACAATTCAACAAAGTCTCTTAATTTTACGGGACGTATCTTCTTCCGTACTGGTCTCCGTCTTGTTGGCTTCTGCTTCACGTGGGGTTCATATGCTTCATCAGGAAATGTCCTATCGTCAGTAACAGTCACATCAGTGGTAGTAACTTCATCAAGAGCTTCACTGTTTCCCTTCTCAAAACTGAGTAGAGTTTCTTCTTCGATGGTGGCTTCTTCATGTGGCACGTCTTCAGCAGCGTCATTTGTTCTGTTTTCCACTTCGTCCC